GGTTAAATGCATTGTTGCTTTAGTAATACATATATTTCTTTTTTTATCGAGTTAAAATAGGTTTCAAATTGCTTTTAAATTATTCCGCTTAATTTAGATTTTACCAAAGTATTAAGAATGAGGTTTATTTAAATGCTGCCTATTGAGGTGACGTGAGTAATGCTCTGCTAGACCATCTTCTGCTTAAATTAACACGATTGTTAACTGAGGCCTCGCTTCGTCCTAGGCAAGTGTCTGTGGTCTCATTAAAAGATTACGTTTCACCTGCAAAACGATGGGCCAATATGAAGTTAAGCAGCCAAGTGTAACCGCTTGTTTTGTTGCCAGTCACAAACAAACTGCTTCATTAATTCGTTCAGCAACAATCACTGCATTGTTATATGTATTTGATATTCTCGTAATTGCCTCAATTTTCTTTATCACTGTTATAACAATTTGATTTGATTTAGATAGGTCCAACACATTACCCCTTGATGGCAAGACCTGCAAATGGTCTAAAGAGATTAATGGTCAGTGTACCTTGTGCCAAAGTGGCGAAACCGAAGATATTCGTCATTTAAGAGACAGCTCACAGATATAATCAGAGAGGCAGAATTAGCTATTTTAAAACAAGACCTTGAACTTTGCAATGAGACTGCAACTTGGAACACTTTCTCAGAATCTGATATTGATGATAAAATTCATTTTGTTCTTTGGGGGAAAATAATCTCTTTAATGGTGATGTTCAATCTGCATTTGACAGATGTTGTAAAACATTTGCTAAAAAAGCTTGGGATAGAAGATCAAATTTAAAATTAGGTTAAATGCATTGTTGCTTTAGTAATACATATATTTCTTTTTTTTTTATGTTTTAAATTTAATTTCTTTTATATACTTTTATAACGCTTTGTATATATGTATAATATATATGTGTGTGGGTGTGTATGTGTGTGTATATGTGTATGTGTGTATATGTATGTGTATGTATATATGGGTGTACATGTGTATGTATGTTTGTATGTGTGTGTATGTGTGTATATATATGTATATGTGTACTGTATGTATATATGTGTATTTATATGTGTGTATGTATGTATATATGTGTATGTGTATGTATGTATATATGTGTATGTATGTGTGTATGTATGTATATATATATATATATGTATATATGTGTATGTATGTGAATGTGTGTGTATGTATATTTATATGAGTGTATATATGTATATATATATATATGTATGTATATATATGTATATATATATGCACACATATTTGGGTGGGGTACTGTATGCACGTAATGTGTATTATGTACATTATTTGTGTGGGGAGGGTGAGGGATGTTCATGATTTATTTTAGATCTACGTTGTATTTTCTTTAGTTAAGTTCTTTAATTTGTTTAGCTTTAAGTCGTTGTTTTACTCTTTGTTCATAAGTTCTTTCATTTGTTTAGCTTTAAGTTGTTGTTTTTACTATTTGTTCATTAGTTTAAGTTTGACTGCGCCACTTTCTTGTGTGCTGCCACTGATGTAAAAGTGTAATGTCAATAAATATTATATTATATTACTGTACCACCTCATTAGGCCTACACATTGCAGTTTGGAAAAAAATAAAGGATCTAAATATGCTTCTAGGGTCATGCGCAAGGCCAAGACTGCCACTCACTTTTTTCAACCATGAACACGAGTTATAATATATGATAACCAATGTAAATCTATGGAAAATAAGAAGAAATCCTTATAGATAAAGGTAAGCTAGGAACCTGATTCCAATCAATAAAGCTCTGAAAAACTGTCATTGCTAAATCTACCTGAAAAAATATTACCAAACCTCTAATGAAAATGTTATAATTATTTTCAACAAAGCAGTTTGTTATTGTATAATTTCATAATCCACAGCTCAGACCCATATGTTCACTTAAAAAAGGTTGACACAACTAGGTTTTGGGAATTTATCGAGTTGATTATTATGTCGCTAATTGTTTGGCAGCCATTAATGAGTGCTCAATGTGTGACCTGTCTTGTCAACAATTAGCCTCGTGATATTAAAGGCTTAAAAGAAAATATTAGGGGAAATAATGAGAATTAATGTTAGCTGGTGTGTTTGAAAGGAACTCTTTATGTTAAATAGAGATTGTTGATGATTTTTGCATTGAAATGATCTGACAGCTAGCTAAATGCATTATGATTGTTGAAAGAGCCACTCAGACGCTCATTTTAAGTAATGGTGTCTGCTACAGCAGTTAGCATTGCATTCAAATGCTGCAAGATGTTTTCATAAAAGTGACTCGGCCATTATCGCTTTTAGTATGGTAATGGAAGTGTTTTTTAGCATTTTCCTCTCTTTGTTTAATCATTGTCCAATATTTTTGACTTTGCAATTGGCATTTGAGTTTTCACTTTGTCTTTTCAAGTGAATTAACCTGATTGATCTTTGACTTTTATTTCAATTAATAATTTGATAGACTACTGTATTTTGAATCTTTGGTGTTTGATTTGTGAGTTTAAAGAAAATAATAATGAAAATAATAACAACACTAAAGTCGTAGTTATGATTATAGAAATAATTCCTTCAAATATTTAAAAGCATATTGAAATACTGATAACATTAAATTTGAGACCAAAATCTTACAGTATATAATAGTTGCCGTTATTTTATTATCATCATTATAATATTTATAATAATATAGACCTCAAGATCCAATATGATAAGATATAGATCCTGGAGAATACTATACGATAACAAGATCCAATATACTATAACTTTATTAAATTGTATGTTATACATCAAATATGTACTGTAATATAATTTTTTCTTGTCTATAGCAAGGATATAATACAATAATATACTAAAGACAACATAATAAGCATCTAAACGAAACTGGGGTTTTTAATTTCCATAGTTTTAGTAGATGTGTGTTGAATAATATATCATTATCAAGTTGTTATAAATTAACATTAATTATGAATAGATAATACACTTGGTGTCATCATGTTATTGTAAACCTGGATGAGTTTGTCCTGCAAATGACATGCATGATTGAACACTGTATTTGATTACTGATTGCTATCGTAATGCTATGAGGTGGTAATATTGGGTTAAGTAATTAATAAGACAGGTCTGAGTTAATTAATTAATCAAACCAATTTGTTAATTAATAATTAGTGCTTGGAGGGTTTTCATACTACATGATATTTGTATACTATTGTACATTATATTTAACAAAGATCATTGATTGATTTTGTGATTTTTTTGATACTGTATGGCCTTGTAGAGGAATAGCCTCAGGATTATACAAGCTGTCTTTTGTTATTAATAAAGCTTTCTAGTGTTATTAATATTAGTATCTTTATGTCTTACTTTTGTATACAGTAATATTATCAATTATTATTATTACTATGATTGAAATTACACATTATTGATGCTAATACAAAAGTGAGAATACTACATACACAACAGGATTTCTTTATTTTTTTAATTGCATTGAAGTATACTTCAAGATTCATTGTGTATTTGTGAATGTTAAATAATTATTTTAATAATATAGATAGATAGAAATCCTTCTTTATTCTGAATACTTAATCAATTTGACATTGTTATTCCTTAAGGTCCAGTTACGATATAATTACAATATTATCCTTAAAATTTCATTTTTAAAACGCATACACAAGTTAAATGTTTTTCTTTGAAGTATCAGCCTTATATAGTAGGCCTACCCTTAATGTGGGTAATATACTTGTAGCGGGAATCAACATGTTATCGATAATTTTAAAAAACCAGCATATTCCTATTTAGTAAGTTAGTAGAATTGAATAGTATGCTGCAATACCAACATGCAGATCATAGATTCATCAGTGAGTTGAACACCATTCAACTAAGACAACTAGTGGTTGAGTATAATGGTTGGTAATGATATCAACACTACCACTGTAGCAGTAAAACCAATGTTGCATTTATTGCATCAATGCTTCGATACTAATAATTATAATATCACTGAGACCATGGCATATTGTATCAATTATATTGGTTCTAAGGGTATTATGAGTATAATTAGTACTACCAGGTGAATGGTCAATTGCAGAGCACTTACATGCATTCGAGTCACTAGGTCTCTATTATATAGCCAACGTTGCATTATGCATCAGTGCTTTGATGTTTTGTCAATAATAATATCACTGATGCCTTACCATATTGTAGCAATGATATTGTTGGTAATGATTAGTTTTGAATTGCGAGTATAATTATCAGTAGTTGGTCAATGGTCAATTGCTGTGCCTCTATTAGAATACTAATTTCATTCCACTGTATATAATATGACAAACAACAAAATGAGAGATGAATTTTAATGATAAAATACTAGTAACACAGTAGTATTAAAATAACATACTCTAATAATATAGTAATGATGATGAGGGATTACAAAATATGATGGAGTGGTACTGCAGCGTGGTGGTTAAGATGCTTGACTTCCGATTCCAAGATAGTGGGTTAAAATTGTATACTAATGACAGAAAAACTCTAAAAAATCAGATATCAGAATTGCCTCATAATGACAAATGTAATTATTAAGTAAATTAATTTTTGTGGTACTAAATAATGAACAGTACAATGCATATTTTTTCAAATATTCTTAAACAAGTAAGAATAGAAATTTCAGGGGCGGATCCAGTAGAGGGGCGCTGGGGACACGCCCCTTTTTCCAACAAAAATCCCCCCTCCCCATTCAAAAAATTTGGGATCTGCCCCTGAATTTGCTGGATAGTGATTTAAATTTCAGAAAAGCAATATTTTGAAATAATTGAGCAGACAAAATTTAACAAATAACTTGGGGGGGGGGAGGTTTGGGAAAGAAAAAAAAAAATGCATTTTATGAATTTTTAATGGAACTTGTAGACTACTTCGCTATTTTATTTACTCTATAGAAATTTGAAATATTAATTGCAGTATACAATAATAACATTAATTAATAAATATTTTCAAAATTCAATTTAAACTTCTAAAATTGCGAAGGTTGAGTGTTCATACTGTGTATAGGTTTACATAGGTGCTGCAGTTCCCTTAATTCAAATTAGATTTGTCTATCTGAATTATTTAAGAGATGTGAACAAGGGGAGAGGGAGTTAACGTAAATTGAATGCCCTGATTTCAAATTGTATGTAATTGAAGGTAAAAATCTGCAGTACTGGTTGAAAAGAAAAGATAGAATTGAATCAAACTTATATTTAGGAACAGACAAGAAACTATTTGTTGTATAATTTAGTGTAATTTAATGGGACTTTACTGTAAATGAATATACTGTAAGTTTGGGAGTTTGCATGTCATTTGAACTTCACTTGGACTACAGCTACAGTATTACATTTCCTGATTGAATTCTGTTTCAACCATACAATACTAATTTAGCTACAGTAAATCTAGAACACAGCTAATGGGGTCATTGGAAAAATATTAAGCAATGTACAGTATACTAAATTTTTATCTTTTTTTTTTTTAATTCTCTATAGACCATATGATCGGAGTGGTGAGGATTTAGATATCATCTATTCACGATTAAAAGGTGTTAAAGCTTTTGAGAAGTTTCATCCATCGCTGATGAGGCAGATATGTTACTATGGTTACTATGAGGATCTTGAGGCAGGTGTTACGTGTAAGTGGTGGCAATTTTGCAGAACTAAACTAATCAATATATTTACATCTTCAATAATAAATTTGTTTTTTGTTTATGTAATATACCATGATAAATTGCAATTCAAAGACCTAGCCTTGTCATCCATGTGAGAATTAGTGCTATTTAAAGAATAAAAAGGCTTCCAATGGCTACTGGTTTAGATTTATACTAGAACCTTGATGGTCTACTAGCATTCACTATGCCTCCAGTCCCAGTGGAGGTTGTGTTTTTTCATTTTTGGTCATTCTTTCTCTGGGTGCTTGCCTGAAGATTTGTGGGAATATTAACAATCAATGGAAAAATAAAAAAAATAATTATTAATTAATAATTAAAGATTTGGTGTGAAGCTGCCTAGTGGCTATGATGCTTGCTGTTCTTGTCCTCCTCTCTACCGTTATTATCTCAAATTATTACGTATACTGTAAAGTAAACAATAAACATACGAGGATGTGGATTGAATATTCAATCAGATTTTCACAAGTGTTACTTAAGTGATTTAGTGTCTTTACTTTGCTGTTAACAAGGGATAAATTTGCATGAATATTAAGTGCACAAATCCTATATTGCCTTGGAGCAGGCGGCCTAACATATGATGGTCATAGTAGTAATGGCAGTTGAATGATGTATCCCCTCATGGCAATAAACCCTCTCTCAATTTATGAAGTTCGAAGATGAGTTAAGTGATGGCAATCGAATGCAATACCCTCCTCATCAATAACCATCGCTCGATTTATTTAATTTCTCATTCCATTTGTGTGAACTGACTTGCATGGTGAATTATAGTCAATCTATATAATGTGACCTACTAAAGGTGAGAAAAGAAAATAATTTTAATGGGGTACAATGCATTCTAGATGGAAGTCTTCCAGATATAATATTAGTCCCTTTGGTATTATCTTTTTTAATATTATTTTATGTGATGTATAGTATATTTTAATTATTATGCTCTGCTATTAAACACTTACAGTAATTCATTAAAATACCAAGCAAAGTTATTTTAAATACTAATAATTATAATAATCATATAACTCTTCACGCTGCAAATCAAGTATATCGGCAAGGAAACATCGGTACGAACTGGTATGCTGTTTTATCAGGTGCGTTAGAGGTGTATTTTTCTGAAACAGGAAATCAGAAGGTACTGTAATTGGTATTATGAATATTCATCAGTTTATTAAACATTTTTTGCATTTACCTTGTATTTTGTTGATGTCTTAAAATATTTCATTGCTTATTTGCAACTGTACTTTGAGCTTTCTCTCTGAATTTATACAGTAGAATAATACAATTTAATGATCAAATTATTTACTAAACTTCAAGAGACAATACAAGATACAGTATGGCGGTACTTTTATATGCAATATTATATGTCACAAATTGAAGTGAAAGAAAGAAATTAATTTTTTTTTTCTTCAGCGATATAGAAAAAACAAATTTATATGTTGACTTTTCATGTGTAAATTATCAGCTAATTAAGAGAATAACACTTAAGGTATCTATTAATTGACAAAGAAAAGTGTGTCTTACTGTCATTTTCTATTAAAAGTTAATTTAATAGTCTGAGTAAGAAATTCAAAATATTAAATTTCATATTTGATATTAATTAAAATATGCAGACAGTAGTCTAAGGATTTGTGTGAATTTTAAATTAATGTATGTATCTGCAAGCTTCTGTGTCATTATATTTACTTGTATTGTCTATTACATGCTGATAGCACAGTACATTACTTGTAAAACAACGCATTTGACCATTGTTCAAGTGGTGTATTTGTTGCCATAGCTATTGTACATGTACTTGCTATACTTGTGTATGAATTAAAGAATGCAAACCTCTTCACATTCTAATCATTACCTTTAGGATTGTTTTTTCTCACATTTATCAATACTGTGATCAGTGATATTTATATGCTCTAATACTTTTGTCTGACAATATTTCTTTTTCAGAATATATAGTGATACATCATAAATTTAGTAGAACATTAAGTCTATTGTTTAGAGTATGGTATCTTACCTGTTGGTTTACTATAATAACCAGCTTTTATTTCAAGTTTATTGAACAATTACTGAAGTCAGAATGACACATGGCTTGTTAATAGATAACCACCTAAACAACATGCATGATAGCGCTGCTGGACGCTTAGAATGGACACATGAAACCTTTGAGTATTCGAACAAGCAAGATAAGTGACACTGAAATGGCTGTAAATCATCAAGCCATAATGTACAATATGAAACCATACAATGATAATAAATTTCAATATCTACAGTACAATAATTTTTAAAGAAAAATTAGTTTATCATGATGATCATTGTCATCATTATTACTGTACATCATTATCATCACCATCTTCATCATTATCAATGTCATCATAATCACAATAATTTTTAAAGAAAAATTAATTTGATGATCATTGTTATCATTATTACTGTACATCATTATCATCACCATCTTCATCATTATCAAGTCATCATAATCACAATAATTTTTGAAGAAAAATTAATTTAATGATCATTATCATCATCATTATTACATCATTATCATCATCATCTTTGTCATTATCAATATCATCATCATCCTCATCAACATCATCATTATGATCATCAATGTTTGATAACAGTTGTTGATACTTGATACAATAATATTTTAAACATTGCAAATTACAATAACTAGTGATGAGGATTTTTCTCAATTTTATATTATTATATATTAATTATGTAAAAAGTGAGAAAAAATTCAAATGTGTCTTATTAGGGGCTGGAAAATACATAAGATTTGTTTATGTTCATAATCATATGGTGGTGTATAGACTCTGATACAGGTTTAGGTATCATTAAGTGACTGGTATTTTGCAGTCTATCACGTTAATTATGATATTGGCAGCATATCATTTTCAGCCATTCATTTGCTCTGTGCTAAGTTCATTCCAGGTTTATTCACTTCTGAGGATTAAAAATTTACAGCTTTCTAAATTTTAATAGTCTTCAGTATGGTATCAGATGACACTATACACAAATCATTTTAATCTAGATTGGGATGAGTGATGAGACGTCATTCTTGTTCTACTCAGCAAACCAAAACATGATTAATTCTACAAGATCATACCACTAGATTTTTTTCTTACAAAAGTAGATGATATCTCAAATTAGAACACTAGTAAGGTACTGTTGTGGTTGGTTGGTTTAATCTGGGATGATACAGTAACCTATAGTCCAGTTTAGTGGTGTCCTGTTAGTGGCATAGTACTTTACATCGGAAGATAAAATTCCTTCTCTTTTCTGAAGATTTATGTATAATTACTCATTTAAATCATCATATCATAGTAATATATGATAATTTAACATGTCTGTATTTATGTAGTGCTTTACAGTGTACATCATGGCTATTCTATTGATGCTCAAAGATGATGTAAATAAGAACTGAACAGATATAATAACATATGTGATGATACAAATCCATCATCGCCCACCACTTTAACTATAACTGCCATATAATATGGGTCGTTACAACCGATCACTTAGAATTAGTATACTCAAATCACTGCAAAATAGAGCAGGTAAAATAATAACACAGACATGATTTGACTTATAATAATAACAGATTCACGTAGACTTATTTCAGTCTTTTTACAAAGACTGGTCTTCGAAGAGGCCATGTCCTTAAAAACAAAATATTTAAAAGCAAAAGAAAGTGCAGGTACTTTAAATGTAAAATTTAAACAAAAAGTTGGCTACAACATACTGGAAAGTTTTGACGCAGTTTTTTGGAAACTCTTTAGATCTTCAGCATTTTTTGCTTCATTTCTTTTTGCTCCTTGATAAGTAAAACCTTTCTTTTTGTAGTCTTGTTTTTAGTTTAAAGATTTCCAAGCTTTTGCTCCTTTATAAGTAAGACTTTTATTATTGTAGTCTTGTTTTTGGTTTACAGAGTTGAAGGTTGTTTTTCGATCAGGTAACAGTAATATATTGAATAAATTGAAAGAGAAGCAATGAATAAGATAATGAATAGCAGGGGCGTACCGTGGGGGGGTCGATGGGTGCGGTCGACCCCCCCTTTTAAAGAAAGTGCCCTTTTTTAAATATGATTTTTTTTTTTAAATCTAGCATAAATATACTGCACCTAACATGAAGGTAGTTAATATCAAAATAAATTATCCTTCGCCTAAAAAATGTTTGGTGGCCCTTCCTTTTAATATTTTGATTTTTTGTCTTTTTTTTAAACAATCCATATAAAGTTATACATTTTTAATCAACTTGATATCTCGAAGCCCGCGCGCCAGTGGAGTTGTGTTATGTGGTTACGCATCATTGCACTCTGCCATTATTGTTATCTGTAGCTGCGTGTTTTCCGTGCAGCAAAATAATCTATTCGCGCGCAACGCAAAACCGAAGGCAATGTAATTATTTGATGAGAGCAAATTTTTCTCGTGAGGTAGTTGAATACTGTAGATTATTTTTTCCATGCTAAATGCCAAATAAAGAGAGAAGAAGAAAAATAAAAGAAAAGGAACTCAGAGAAGACGCAAAACGATGCAGGACGCATCGGAAAATAAATGATAACAATTTGATCTTTAAATAAAGAGCTATTTATTTTTTTATGTAAATATTAGGTAAGTTAAATTACCTTTAGTATTGAAAGCGTAGTTTAAGTATTAGTTATTGAGAAAAACGATGAAGAAAAACTAAGTTAAAGAAATATATTAAAATATAAAATTGAAAGGAAAACGATGAAGAAAAACTAAGTTAAAGAATTACGGTATATTAAAATATAAAATTGAAAGGAAAACGTTAAGAAATAAATGCATACAAAATGTTACTTTAAGTAATTATATGTTCCCTATATCATTGTTTATTTTTCAATACAGTATTATATACATTTATAACTTTATTTTAAAAAAAAATTAAAAGTGGGACGATCCCACGAAAAAGAAAAAAAAAAAAAAAACCTTTTTTTTTTTAATTCTTTAATCTGAAATGCTCACATGCCCATATTCAGGAGTTCCGCAATCCAATAGGCTGGTGGTATATTGAGTGAATATAGTCTGGTGTTGCCCAAAAACTACGTTTACAATTAGGCCTATTTTGTCAGACTTGGTATTGAACTTAATGTACTAGAACGTAAAAACGTAAATTTTTCCCCTTTTGCGGCCCCCTAGCCCCAGCCTAGTTGCTCGCTTCACTCACAAATAACGCACCCCGCGAATTCTGAAAGCTTCGCTAAATTGCTCTGAGTTCAGCTTGCCCCCTGCGCTTTCGTTTCGACCCCCCCTTAGATTTTTCACCGTACGCCCCTGAATAATTTAACACCATCGAGAGATAGATAATCAGTTCTTTATTCAAACCACTGTAAGTACAATAGCAGCCCAAAGTGCTGAATTGGAGTACAAATTTACAGCAAAGGTACACAATCAAGAAAAAACAGAAGGAAACATCAGAAGTACAATAAAAAAACAAAATTCAAGTACAAAGTCTAATATAATCAAAATATAAAAAGAGAACATCCAAAATACGATTCCATGAGAACAGTCAGTAAAGGACATATTGGCAATAATCTTCAAAAATGCCATTGAGTATGAAAGAGAAGGAAGAACGTTTCAGAAGTGAAAAACATGACAACTACATCCAAGTATAATTAATGATCATGCAGTTCAGTCTGATGAAAATTAATTATTCTTTATTATTAATAATAGAAAACTTGTATATATGTCTCCCTTTTTTAAAAACGTGATTACCTAAAAGTTATAAATTATACATAGGGATACAAAACTCCCCGGGCTGTTGCATATGCTTTATTATTTTTTAAAATTTTGTTTTATTTTTTAAACCATTTTTTTTTATTAACCAACGGTAGGTTAGATTGCTTTGATGTTTAGCTGTTAAATCTGCTGTAAGTTAATATTCAAGATCAGTCAGTTGCTGCTCTACCTTCCTCATTTTATCAGTTACAAATATTTCTACAAATTTCAAAATTGCCTACCATGACTTACAATTTAAACAAGCCAATAAGCTGAACAGTATACACAAGCTTATCTTGTGAGTGTACCTTAGTGAGCAGTGCAACGATTACAGCTAGCATACTTCTGAAATATTACAAAAGGTTATTATTAACATCCTTTGTTGCTGTGCAAAGATCTATTTTGTATATTACATTTCCTAACTGTTTAGTGATATAGTATATTAGACTGTGACAGAGAACTAAAATATTGACAAGAACGGTATTCATAATGATAGCTACCGTCTTTTACAAATTACTACAATATTAAAGGGCATCATTTATGTGCAGTGCCATTTGAAATCAATTCTACCTTGTCATTCTTTTTTGTTGTTTTGTTAATGTTCATTATTGATAATATTTAGTATTTCTTTGCATAAATTATCATAAGTATCATTGATTCCTTATGTATTTGTATAAATGTTTTTTTGTGTTATATTTTGTACCATTTCTATATTCCAAATGTAATTGTTTTAAATATTTTTCATACAGTGTATATCATATTGATTTGCATGCATATTGTTATATTTAAATATTTTGAATTACATTTAAATTTAGATTATATTTAGATGTATATGATAAATATTTGAGTTATTAGTATCATTATTGTTATTATTATTAATAACAATAATAATATTACTTTGATATTTTCTGTTGATTTCTCCATTTTTGGCTGAGTTGTTATACTAGCCAGTTCTGGTAGGATTAGTTCAGTGACATCTGCCCTCTGCCTGGTTTATATACAATTTGAAAAAAAAAGCACTTTTTGACGTCAACTGACAGATGTTTTGTGCTCATGTATTAGCAACATGGACCATCATTCAACATAAAGTAACTGTATTATATTATAAATAGCTGAATTATTACATATCCAGATACTACACTACAATACGATGGATTAGTACCTACAGCATTATACTGAAAAACATGAAACTCAAATCAATACTCAACTTCCATTCAAAACAACCACTTAAGGTTATACAAACCCTGGTGGACAGGTGCTAATGTTATGGTGTTAACTGAGGAAGAACAAGAGATCAAAATATTAAAAAAAAAAAAAATAGCAGCACTAAAATATGTGAGTATCCACAATATGAGATCTTCAGTTTTACATAAATTGGCCATCACAGGTAATATGTCAAAACTCAAACATACATTGTACATACACAAATAGGAGGTGGTATTCAGAGAAACATCATGATGTGAGCAGAAATTAAAGTGCTATGAATAAGAAAATACAATTGACACAGAGGTAAAGATACCATCAGGAAAGTTGACCTTACAGCACGCTTTTGATGCTTAGTTCACTCCATTAGAAAGGTCCATGGAATATGGGCATTGGCAAGTGAAAATATATGAAATATATGAAAAAGAAATTACATCTTTGTGTGTAACACAGAAGGTGCCACACTGGTTCCCATTGTTATTATAGTACCTTGCAATATGCAAGTTAGCTTGGGCCTTTAGATATGTTGTTCATGTTTATTAATTGATTTTATAATGTTTAATGTATTTGTTTTGATAGGAGTCAATGTCCATATGCAACCTTGGTGTTGGAACTGCGTTTGGTGAATCCGTTCTTGATGACTCACCACGTAATGCAACTGTCGTCACATGCGAGTACAGTGAGCTTCTCCGAATTGAACAGAAGGATTTCAAAATCTTATGGGAAGTAAGTCAGTTTTAACTGTAATAAACTTGCAGGAAAACCAAAATATTTGGCTAGAATTTATAGTGCACATAGTCAGATAGCAATCATGAAGACGTGATTCTGGTGCCTGATAAATGTTGTAATGGTAGTGATCACCATGGGATATTGATGATGGTAGTGATCAAATGAGATTAATGTTGGTAGGGGCCTAATGATCACCAGATGATATCAATGATATAATGATATGAATTATGGTATTGTGATCACCAGATGGTATAATGATGGTACTGATCACCAGATCAATGATGGTAGTGATCACGAGATCAATGTTGGTAGTGATTACCAGATCAATGGTGGTAGTAATTACCAGATCAATGATGATAATGATCATCAAATGAGATTATTGTTGATAATGATCACCAGATGATATCAATGATGATATACTGTACAGTAATGATATGAATTATGATATTGTGATACCAGATGGTATAATTATGGTATAGTGATCCACAGATGGTATAATGATGGTAGTGATCACCAAATGGTATAATGATAGTATTGATCTCCAGATCAATGATGGTAGTTTCTAGGTAGTGATCACCAGATCAGTGATGGTAGTGATAACCAGCTGTATGTCACTGAATATTATTATAGTGCAGTGATTGTCCCTTTCAAGGGTAAGCACCAAATGCTTTAAAATATCCATTTAATTGCTGTATGGTACTATATTAACCATTTTACCGGCAATTATTCTCAAAGGGCCGATTCGGACGAGTAAAATTTAACTGGGTACCACCAGCTGAGCGGTCGCATGCGGCAATTAAATAATGCCCCTGGGTATAGAAAATTCGAAAAACATCTGGCCCAAAAACCCACCTTTTTTACTGGATATTTCAATTACACCTTGCCTCAAGGCGTAATTAATCATAGGTCAGCTGGGTTAATCATAATTCGGCGTCAATTTGTAAGGATAATCGCAAGGAAATGAGTAAATTGTCTAAAAAGTAAGCAGAAATAGCGTAAATTCGTGTATGAAGTATTGAAATTGCCGCGAAAACATTGCTAATTTGACACGGGGTCGTCACTCAGGTCACAAACTATTCAGAATTCTGACCTTGCAGAAGCTTGTAAAATACGTAACTTCCGTCAAATTAATGGGTAAATGGATTGTTATTTTACTCGTCCGAACGACCGTCACATTTAGCCCCAAGGTTATTAGTAGATTACCCATGTAATTGAGTTTACGTCCGAATCCAACCAAACTTCCTGCCTTCTAAATATATGCAGGTAAAATATCACCTACAGTAGACCTAGCTAATCATTAATCTATATTTTTGTGTAAAAATAATATGTAGCAAAGTATATCACATATCAGAAATTCAGATGTCTAGGCAATTACATGATAAATATTTCACTTGTTGTTATCCCAAGAGCTTCGTATGCACTATCATTCTATAGAGTAGTAAAGGCTTGGTGGATTCTGAATGTACTGAAAATGCTTTATAAGTTGCCTCAAATTCTAACATATAATTTGAGTTTTTCATTTCTTCTACTTCAACATAAACTTTAAATATAAATGTTATTTTTGTAAGTCATCCTGTGTCATAAAATTATGAGCTTCTGTATGGCATTAAAAGATTCAATTTGAGATGCAATAGGTAATTGGTTTATTAATTTATTACATTTGACACATGATGGATATGGGCATGATCCTTAAAGCTATAAGCTAAGCATGAATCTAAAGGATGCCAAAGTGACTTGAGTCTACTCAGTCTGTACATCAGGCATACTAAAAATCTACCCAGAAACAAGTCGGGCACTCACCCATATTAAAGAATAAACTATTTGGGAATATTGTCTGTAGATGTATACTGATTAATACTTTACCAGGGATGGCACTGCACTGTGGCTGTCTCAGCTATTAACAGGCCCAGCTTTTGACTCAGTAAGGAGCTTTCGATTTGTGCGATGACACGACGCTAGAACGGAATTACTCATGCGTGATCGTCCTACCTACCTACCTGTACAGTATACCTTCCTATACATTATACTCATTTAATTTATTACTAACAGTGTACCCAATATCAAAATCACTATAATTAATAGCATTGTTCCTATAATGTATTAATAGATTGTTAAACATGGTATTTGCAAGCTCATTCCAAAATATAATTGCATTTGCAACAGCTGCAAGTACATTATAATGTTTTAAAGTGACAGTCACACTTATTATTCTCTTCTCCTTTAATTTGCATCAACCATTTTTGGCATCATCTATTGCACAATGAGCTTTTATAAATATGATTTGCATATCAGTGGACCTTCCCATAATGCTCACCTGAATATTCTTATGCTAAGGTCCCACAAACTGACGGCGTAAACATAATAATAGGTAAATGTGTACGTAATTAAATATAATAATACCTAAATGTGTACGTGATTGTGGAACATATGTGGCATTTGAATGTTTTGATTGGTGAGTTGTGAAGTTTGGTCATCATCATCATCATCATTATCATCATTCATTGTCATCATTATCAACACAGCTTTAGTTTCTGTCTAGTCTCCTAATAGATCTTTCTGATCAACAGTTTGGCATGAATTTTAAATTAATCTACTAATTCTGAAGTTATAAATGTATGTAAATTTTACATATTATATTGCATATCAACCATCTTTAATATACTGTACCCCATATCTGTGCTTATACTTAAATGTGTCGGAGATAGTCGTAGACAACCTCCATTTAAGTTATTTTATATTACAGGAGTACTGTATGTGTTAAAGTTAAGTGTTGTGTAGTAGAAGTGGTTTTACAAACGTTGAATAATTCAAGACTTAAAGAGCTTTCCTATTGCACTTGTCTCATTAGTTGCCTTGCTTAAGAAACTTGGCAAATGGCAGCCAAGATGACGGATCATTAGAAGGGTCATCCAGCAGGATTCACTGGCGACATTTTGCTGTCTGTCAACACCGAAATAGATTCATCAAATGAGGGCGTTGTTGTTAGTAACTGTGCATTTTAGATGAAAGTGAAAAGAGGATTATTTTATAGATTTAATTTGATTTGGTCCAGATCTTACATGAAAAGATGGCTGCTATAGGAGCCCTGTACAGCGAATGTTCTGTTCTCTGCATTTCGAAATACATTTTCTCTGATAATTATTTTCATACACTTAATTTTTTATCTACAGTTCAATTAACTTACTTTATTAATATAGTGAAGTAATTTTTGCATCCAAATTCTTGCATTTGGTCCAAAATAAAATGAGGATATATTTTGACCCACTGTTTTTAATCACAATTTGCAATTTCAGCTATCCTTTTAAATGCAAGAATTTATTACTGTAATGTGTTTATTTTAAAAATAGTCGATGCTGATTTTTAGCAAGTGTCTTTATTCATACATCCCAACATTGTGATACTAAAATACAGGAGAATTTGGCGTGAAGTGCCACCAAGGGCCAGGCCTTGGCATTTGGGGGGTTCGGGAGGGATATCCCCATTACATGGGGGTCCAGCATGTACAGTATACAAGGCCAGCGTTTGTAGCACTCATATCCACCTCGCACCACTCACAGAGAGGCTATGCTGTAGCAAAAAAAATATTGAAAGATAACCTAAATATTGAGGTTTTCATAGTATTTTATTGCAAAAAAAGCAAATACGGTACAATTAATATATTAGTATGCCTATGTAATTTTCTTTGTAAACCGAGAGAGCATTTGAAAAAATGTGAGAAAAAAAATTGGCTGGGAGCCAGCTGACCAAAACGGGAGTCTCCCGGCCAAAGCGGATGTTGGCATGTATGCTTTATTTTTTACATAAATAGCATTTTACTTTATTATGCAGTAAAGTAAAGATGGTGATGTTTGATGATGGCAGTGATAACTGCAATGTTTGATGATGGTATTGATGATGGCAGTGATGACTGCGACGTTTGATGATGGTATTGATGATGGCAGTGATGACTGCGACGTTTGATGATGGTATTGATGATGGCAGTGATGACTGCGATGTTTGATGATAGTATTGATGATGGCAGTGATGACTGTGACGTTTGATGATGGTATTGATGATGGCAGTGATGACTGATGTTTGATGATGGTATTGGTGATAGCAGTTATGACTGCGATGTTTGATGATGGTATTGATGATGGCAGTGATGACTGTGATGTTTGATGATGGTATTGATGATGGCAGTGATGACTGTGATGTTTGATGATGGTATTGATGATGGCAGTGATGACTGTGACGTTTGATGATGGTATTGATGATGGCAGTTTTGACTGTGATGTTTGATGATGGTATTGATGATGGCAGTGTTAACTGCAATGTTTGATGATGGTATTGATGATGGCAGTGATGACTGCGACGTTTGATAATGGTATTGATGATGGCAGTGATGACTGCGACGTTTGATGATGGTATTGATGACGGCAGTTATGACTGTGATGTCTGATGATGGTATTGGTGATGGCAATGATGACTGTGATGTTTGATGATGGTATTGATGATGGCAGTGATGACTGTGATGTTTGATGATGGTATTAATGATGGCAGTTATGACTGTGATGTTTGATGATGGTATTGATGATGGCAGTGATGACTGTGATGTTTGATGATGGTATTGGTGATAGCAGTTATGACTGCGATGTTTGTTGATAGTTATGATGATGGCAGTGATGTGTGCTGATAATATTGGTGATGTCAGTAATGACTGCGATGTTTGATGATGGCAGTTATGGCTATGATGTTTAATGATGGTATTAATGATGGCAGTTGTGACTATGATGGTCGATGAATGTTTGATTGTGGCAGTGATATGTGCTCATAATATTGATGATGGAAGTAATGACTACTATGTTTGATTATGGTATTGATGATGGCAGTAATGACTGCGATGTTTGATGATGGTATTGATGATGGTAGTAATGACTGCGATGTTTGATGATAATATTGATGATGGCAGTGATGACTGCGATGTTTGATGATGGCAGTTATGGCTACGATGTTTAATG